ACCACAAGTACACTCGATCCAGACTGCCCGTGCTCGGACCCAAATCCGAAGCACTCTGGAAAGCGCTGCACGAGCTCAGACCCAACACGTACGACTATGCTGGGAATTTTGGTGTCGAAGACGAGGGCTTCTGCGTCGACTCGACTGTCAAGAATCCCATCAAGACGTCTCGAGAAGCACCCCATCCCATAGCTGCAGGCACTGACATCTCGTCGTGTCCCGCCTTTACTTTGGACGCTTCGCCTGCTCTCTCTCTTATTCGTAGAGTGCTGGCGTGGGACAAGCTTTCCATCCCTGCCGATCTCGAAGGAACGTGGTACGGGGTAATTTTCCGATCAAAACGTCGACCTTTTGTCCACAATATCGGACTGTACGAAGCTGATCGGCTAGCTCACGAAGAGGCAGTCTCGTCGGGCGGATTGATGATGTACTGGTACGGCACGCCGGACGCTCTGGGCAGCAACTTGGCCACGTGCGTGTGGACGAGTCGAGAAGCTGCGAAAGTGGCTAGCGCGCTGCCGCTTCACAAGAAAGCGGCTAGCAAGAGCTCCAAGGCGTATGAGACCTTCGAGCTGGCTAGATACAGGCTCGTCGCGAGAAATGGCAGGCTCAGCGCGGAGGAGTGGATAGAGGGAGGAGATGGGGAAGAGGAGATGGAGGGAGAAGGCTTTAGATAGATGGGGCGCTTTGGCGCAATATTTGACTCACAGCATCCAAGAACATCCATACATGTACCATTAGACAATCAAGACAGCATCCACCAGCAATGCACGTACGAGCAAGCACATGCGAGCGGCGTGATTACGATGTATGCGTGCTCATGCGAAAGTTGCTTGGTCGAGCTGATATCGGATGAGAGAGCCAAGGAATGAGACCATGAGAATTGCGCCAAGCGACCTGGCTGAAGTCATCACTCACAATCAGTCTTGCTGCCGGTCAAGATCGACCAACACAGACAGCGCCAGGCAAGAGTCCTGGGGGCGAGGCCTGATCACGTGATCGTCGTTCCAAACCGTGCCCCTGCATCCACAACTCAAGACTCGCGACTCGCGCTTCATAATCTCTTGACTGCAGCCCGAGATTCACCATTGACGAGATCGTGAATGGGACCACAAACGCACCCTTGTCTGATTCACACTGTGCATCGAGCCTGCTAGCCATAGTTCGATTTGCACAACCTCGTGAGTCGTGACTCTATCTGCAGAAGACCAATAGCGCTCTGCTTTGGTCATTCTCGCTCCAGCCCGCGACAGGATTCGACCATCAAGATCGTGCTCGGTGCATACGGCGCCTAGACAGATCACGCCGGATATATACCAAGTCCCAATTCGGCTTGCCCACACCCGGCCTGCCTGATCAGGGTGCACAGCTCGTAGCACGTCCTGATATCAGCGCGCCATAGCTCAGACCGGCGCTCGGATCAGTGCGTAGACATCACTTGTGTTGCTCGCTGGCATCGATCTGCAACAGCTACGCATCATGGCTGTCAGACCTCTGGTCAACCCCGGTCTTGGTGAGTGCACAGTGTGGATGCCGCAGCGAAGGATGATGGGACATTGCGCAGGAAAGATCTGCTCACCATCTCCTTGCTCGCCCTCTTCCCTCTGCTGCGCCAAATCTTCGACAGCCGGCTGCTGCACCATCCTCTCCATTTTTGGCATTCTCTCGCTCGGAGTCATAGGCTACGGCTTTGCACACAACTGGGAAGCATTCATGGGCTCCATCAACGACCCTGTGGATGGTCAGGCAGTAGCTAGCACCTGCTACGTCGCTGCTCTCGTATTCGTGGGATTTGTGGGCTTTTGCGGCTGTCAGGTGGGTCATGCTAGGTATGCTAGAGGCATCGCTTTGGATTGAGGGTTGTGCCTCGATGCGCGCCTGACATCTTCAACAGGTGAGCGCGAAGCTGGAGAAGGCCGAGGGGTGCATGGATGCAGAAGCGATGGAGTGGTGTGGTACAAGCTGGCCGGGGACGACTATGTCGACTATGTGCGGAAACAACAATATGGAAGAACCTGCAAGGTGTAGCGCGTACCACATGTAAGCGCTTTTCCAGACGTACATCACGCCTTCGGCGAAGGAACGCAGCCGCAACGTGGTGTGGTGCGGCGTGGTCAGCCACGCCTGAGAGATCGCTGTCATCGCGGTCGTTGGACATGGACGTTTGCCGGGCTTCAGCATGAAATCTGCGCTGACACCGAGCCCTTGCTCCTCGCCCTCACGCGACGCTGTGACCTTGCCAGCCGCCTCGTTGCTTTTAGATTCCTGCGTCAAGTCACCAATCCTTCGACGCTGATCTGCGCTTCCGTCCTGCGGTGTCCTCCTCATTCAATGCCATCTCGTTCAGTCCGTTCGCGGCTGCCCAACAGGGGCGACTTTCTGAGTACCTACCGGCACGCACGCGGACAAGGTTTGACCATCTGCTTCTTCACGCGCCGGTGTGGTGGAGGCGCGGTGACTGTCGCGATTGTAGATGGAGACAAGAGAGGGTCGGGGCGAGGCAGATGCAGGAATGGTGATGGTGGCGCATTTACGAGCGAATGCGCTGGAAGATGGACAGACTTTGGAAAAGAGAGTTCTTGGCACAGTAATAAGGTGCATCGCCACATCTTTCGACACGAAAAGCTTGGCTGTCATGTGAGGCTCCGGGTGAGTGACTTTGGCTGACTGACACAGATTTGGTACAGCGACGTGCACACACATGCAGACAAAGCGATGGCGGTCTCTCTCCGCGCGCGAGAGAGCGAGGGATGGTGCAAGAGTCATCCTCGTCGAGGCGCGGCGGCATCGCCACCACCTCCGATGTTTCCCGAGCCGAACCTTGTTCAAATTTCCAGCCCTGCCGTGCTGCGTGCTGCGTGCTCGTCTTTGCCACGGGAGGGCGGAGCGCGACAGTGCACTCGATCTGAGAGAACATCGCGAGGGTCTTCTATGTTCACACCACCCATGACCGCAATTCGTCGACGTCGTAGGCGCGCCTCATCCTTCTCATCCGGAGAGGGAGCGGAATGGCAAAGAGAGACGCGCGTTCGTGTACCGGTATGCTTCTTTCGCCAGCGCGCTGTCCTGTTCGGCGTCAAAGCAGTCGACGCGGAGGTTGGTGCCAACCGCGCCCCGACGCTGATCGTTCGTGGTCATTCAAACTCTCGAACAAGGTCAGCGGCGACAAAAACATATGTGGCCACAAGCGAGCTCCGGTAGCTCGCTTGAAGGCGTGATCAAAAACAGAATAAAAGGTCAACGGCGCGACATCTCTGGAGCTTACTCGTGCGGCGCCACCAACAGCTCTGCGCCATTCGGGTGCTCGCCACCTGCCTTCACAACAAACAGTCCGCACATTCAGTATACGTGAGCCAAGCACACGATCGTCAGACCTGCAGGAGTCCCAAACGACCGGACAGTCGATGTGTGGACCAAGGACGGTTGGGCGGCAGCGCAGAACCATTTTGCTTTCGCCACCACCGCCGCAGCCCGCGGCCATTCCCACGTCAGAGCGATGAACGGACTGCGTGCCTCGAAAGGTATGCAATAGTCGAGCTACTTTTGTACGTGTCGTTGCACGCATTGGCGAGACCCGACGGCCTCACCCGAATGTCAAAGGCGCTTACATTGGGCGAAGACGAAGACAGGATGAGGGCGCGCTGTCTACGAGCGCCCGAAACACGTCTCAAATCGACGACCATCGGTGGCGACGAGTCTACACGGCGTCGCGGTGTGGTGTGTGCGTTGATCCGCCAGCCAAGGGGCTCCACACAGGAAGAATTTGCCACACACGCACACATATGACATATGCTCTTGGTGGCCAGACACATATAAAAGATGTGGAGAATCCCCATCGAGAAAGGCATCCCTCACTTCACTGCAACATTTACTTTACTTTCCACCGCGCTTCTGGAACTGGCTTCCACCAGCTCGCTACAACATCTGCACTTGCACTTGCACTTGCACTTACATTTCCAATTTTTTTTTTAGTGGTCGAGCACGATGCGCTTCTTGTCCTCTTCGGCTATCGCGCTCGCGCTGGTCATGAGCTCCACGCTCGGGCGCCCAGTCATAATCAAAGATGCGGGCGACAGCTCACCAGAGCGTGTTTCATCTCCAGGCGGGTCGCCGAAGCACACATTCAGTGAAGACGTGCTTCTTTGGCATGACCAGCTGAAAAAGGACCTTCCACCAGGCCAGGAGCCGGACCTCGACCACGAATTAAGAGGGGGCCCTGAAGCGCTCAACCAAAAGCTCGCTTTGGCGCGCTGGAAAGACAAGTACGAAAAGGCAGCGCCTGGCTACGAAAGGGGCTCGATGATAGCCAATTTACTCAGCGATTATGACAGTGAGTGAGCGAGCAAGCAAAGAGAGCCTTGAAGCGCAGCACCAGCGCAACGTATCGCCTCACAACACACAGTTTGAGAGAGAGTTGACATTGGCCTCGATCCGACTTGTAGAGCAACGTGGTAAGAAGCCACTTGAGTTCAGAGGCACGCGGGAAAACCCGGAGTGGCATATGCCCAAATCCCCAAAACGCGTCGACCCGCCGCCGTTCCTGGACAGCGACGGTCGCCCAATATCAACATCGTCGCCTAAGTCCAGCCTCAAAATGACCCGCCAGGAGCGATACTTCATGGCAAGGTCTGGTAAAAACCCACCACCACCACTTTCTCCTGTATCACAATACCTAGCGGACCATTATCGTCACAAGTTACCGGCAGTTTCGCAAAATCCAAGCTCAACGCATGCCTTAGAGCCCAAGCCACTCTCCGGCCCTTCGCAACCCGCCTCTACCACCAAGAAACCAGGCTTCTTCACGAGGGTCAAGAACACGTTCCGCGGCAGGACTAGTGGCTCTAGCTCGACTTCTGCGGCTAGCAACGCGCACACTTCTGACATGTCGCATCTTGCCGATGACGCGACGAGCGCGCTCAAAAAGCTGCCCGGGCATTTCTGATAATATGCCGTGGCCATCGTGTAGGCTGGTTGGGCTTGCGCAATCCGTTGGCGAAGCGATCGATCGCCGTCTTGTCGAGCAAAGCTTTGTAAAATTTTCTCGGCGCGCGACTTTTTCAATCTCATACAGCTCACTTTTGCCATGTATGAAAGAGCCTGGGCTCGTCTTCTGCTTGCTTCTTCAACTTGACCACCGTGAGCAGGACCGGAAACTTTGTCTGAGGCCGTTGCAAGCGCGCTACCAAGATCTGGGCTCACTCCGGATGGCTCATTTGGCGGGTTGGTGGGCTTCAAGGACCTCTTCTCGGCGGGGTGCCAAGACCTGCTCTCTCACGCTGACGAGAGGGTTCTGGGGCGCCTTTTGATCAAATATCTGCTCGTCTCGTCGAGGTGTGGGCAACGTTCCGCTATCTTTGCACGCGCTCGTCTTCACCTCTGTCCTCGTCGCGCTTCTTCACTCCATCTCCTGCTCGCCGTTCTAGCAAAAGCATCGTGTACTTTCTTCATAGCCTTCTTCCACTCTTTGAGCTCCGCTGCATCTTCGAAATCCTCTTCGTCGAACATCTCATCTGCACTCCAATTGTTGTGCTCCAGCTCCTCTTCGTAGGAGTCGACTGGGCCTCCTTCGGGGTCACACTCGCACCACTGCATTCGGAAGTCCTCACAAGATGCCTCACGCTTGCCTTGATGACTTTTGTACGCCTGAGCTGCTTCCGGAAGAGAGTACAAAGACGCGCCAGACGCCCATTCTGCGCGCTCAAGCGAGATTTGATTGCCTCCTTCCTCTCGCCGAATCAATTGGAATTCTTTGCAATCGAGATACTTTCTTGGCAGAGCGTCGAGTACCTCTTTGAAATCCTCGAATGATCGCTCATCTTCGCCGACCAACTCCAAGCGCACGCGATCGAAGGGTGGGTAGACTTGACCTCTTCTTCTGCGCAGCTGAACCCTGGCAAAGTGGACGACCCAATCGAGTGGCCACTGGGGCGCTCTGCGCCTGCTCCAGTCCAGGCGACCCTGTACAAATCTCAAGGCGACATTGCGACCTGTTCCGTCAAGCTTGTCATCCGCAGTAGGCAGGTCTTCTAGCCGAGCCCAGTGAGCCGGCCGCATCGCGTGGGTGCAAGTGTACAACGTCAAACATTGCCGAACCCGCAGGCGTCGCCATAGAGGACCAAGGCGATAGTCGGATCCGCTGAGAGCTAAATGATTCACAGTCATCTTGCTCTGGGCATCCATGCTCTGCCAGAAGCGCAGGTCAAGGTTCATCCTTTCCATAGGTGATGGATTGTAGAGTGGAGCAGGTCGCGGATCGCCTGGCCACGTGATGTGCACCGAGCCCACGAGACGCGCAATGGCGCTCGAGGAAAGGGCCAGTCCATGGAGTCGAGACGGGCGAGAGTGGGCACAAGTAGTACTGCTGGACACTCGGCTCGACCACGCCGCCTGGAAGGGATCGGCTTGCTCCTGTTGCTGGTCCATGCCAAATAGAAAAGTGAGCAAATCGGTCCAGATCTCTAACTCTTGCGCCACCTCTTCTGGCCTCTTGTCCCACCTCGTCTCCTCGATCAGAGTCTGCCGAGCCTCGCTCCTCTCAAGCAGCACATCATCCACCCTGACCAGTCCCAGCGCGGCGACGTTTCCCTGCCTGCTTCTCAGAAAAGCCTGCACCTGTCGCGTGGTGCAGAGAAGAGGAGAGTGGGCAGAAAAGGCGAGGGAGACGTTTCGCGCGAGATGAGTGACTTGCAGCAGCGTCTTGCAAACACGCATGTCCAGCGCGCAGGCTTGCTCAAAGATGCGAAGCAGCAGCTCGACGGGCAGGCGTGTGGGAGTGGGATGCTTTGCCGAGGTGAGCGCTGAAGCTGTTGACATCGGATCGCTGCGCGGACATGGTCGGACAGTGCGTGTCATGCCATCGAGACTAATGTTGAGGTCGAGTGAAAGAGTTTCCATGGGAAATGCCAAAGAAAACAGATCGGCCTGCTCACCACGCGTGTGCTCGGCCGTCTTTGCGAGTGGTGATGTGATCCTAGGACATCTGTGCCTACAGACCAACGGCAGATCTACACGGATAGATGCCTGCCTGTGTAAAAGGCATCGCACATGTGCTGGAGCTTCACAACGATTGCTGGGAGTGCGGCATAAGCAGAGCAGCACTCAACATTGCTGCTCTAGGCCCAGCCTGGCCTTCTGCACAATCTCATGCCCGCGGACAATGGCAAGTCGTGCGTGTGGTGTGCTGAAGGATGGATGTGAATCACGACGACTTGCGATTAAGGCGCGCGGAAGAAGCAAGCTCGCAACAAACACGCGAGTCACCAGCTGCAGTGGCGTACCGCGTCACGCGCATGTGTGCATCCACGAGCACCCGCACACGTGCATCGAGCGACAGTCACTCCACGTACGATCAAGTTGTATCAAACTGGCAGTCCTACAGGCACTCAGACTGTAGGTGCTGTTGGAGATCGTACCTAATTCAAGACAATCGCAATGACTTCTACGTTATATGCAGTACACAAACCCCCGAGGCCAGCAGGCACGTCACAATCGCCAAAAGTTAAAGTCGCACGAATTTTGAATCGAAAGTTGAAAGTATCTATTGCGAGGGAGGCAAAGAGGCGTGGGCAGTGTGTTCGAGACGAGGGCAAAACGGAGCATGCAACCTGATTGCGGCAAGTGCGAAACGTTAGGCAGACATTGGCTTTCATGGGCATTAGAGGGGCGAGGATGCGGCGGCGGCGGCCCTTTGTGAAAGATTGCGCAAGGGTGGACGAGGCGCGCGCAGCGCAATTGGGAGGAGGCAAGGTGGTCGACACGGAGACAAAGCCAGCGCAGAGCTCATGCCCGCAGAGATGTGCAATCTTGATATGTTTCATCCTGGTCGTGACGTGACGAGTGCTTGCACAAAGTGTTTTCAAAGACAGAATTAGTCGTGCTCTATCGTGACTGATCACTGTGGTGATCTTGCTTATCGAAACGGATGGTCGGTAACGAGTGTGCATGATACGTAGATTGGTCAACTCCTTGATCGTTCCATTTCGATCTTGCGCCGCCAGAGCCAAACTCGAGACTGGTTTTGCATGAGGCCGAGGAAGACAAGCGGGGTTGATCAGCTGGGGAAAGCGCATTTTCTAGGCCAGGGGGATAATCCGATAGTAGAATCGCAGGCACGAAGCTGCCGTCGGTCCAGTGGCAAAAGGGCCGGGTCGCTTCCGCCAACGTTGCACCAATCAGCTTTGATCAGGCGGCCTAGAAGGTGCATGACGCTGCTCATGCTGATAAGGTCTCTGCAACAACCTCTCAATCGCCGCAATGTGCTTGGCGTGTCTTCTACTCGTGGCCAAGTGCGGTCGAATAGCCTCCTGCAGTTTCTTGTGCTGCTCTTCCGACGCCACTTCCAGCACTCTCTGCAGGACATAATTGGCGTACTGGTCTGTCATCATTTGTACAGCTGCCGGAGTTCGGCTCAACGCTGATGTGCTACCATTGCCATTGCCATTGTCGTTGCCAGTGCCGTTGTTGACGACCGCTGTGGATGACCGAGCAGCCGAAAGTCGCGCTGGAGACGCATCCACCAACGTCAAAGTCTCTTCGATCAGCTGTCGCCTTTCCTGCTCCGAAGCAGCCCTGAGCACTGCCTCGACCACGTTGCTCGCGAATTTGTGCTTGCTGAGCTGGAGCACCTGTCCCTTGGTTTGCAGAATAATCCTGTCCCTGTCCGCCGCTTGTCCCTTGTAGAGTACCCACTGAATCACGTAGTTACCATACTGGTCCCTCATCAGATTTTTCGCTTCCTCGTGCAGCTCCTCCAACAGAGGCCTGCTCATGCGCTCTTCGCAATGCTCAAAGATCCTCTGTAGCACCCTGCACGAGTAGCAATGGGCCGCCAGTTCGCCCACTCTTCCTCTGAAGGCTTCAGCGACAAAAGCAACATCGCTCGAAGGTCGCACCCTCTTCAGCACCTTTTGCACCACGTGGTTCGCGTTCTGATCTTGCACACACTCCAGCACGTGCTCTCGAAGTTCTTCAGCCATGGAAAGCTGCTCGTGAGGTGTCACGTAGTCAAGTGCTTTTTGTACCACTCGGCATCCGTACGTGCCGAGAGAGAGAGAAAATATGGAACCTAGTATGTCGGCTATCAGGGCACTGCGCTGCTCCTGCGTCCCGTGCTCGAAGAGCTTTTGTATGACCTGCAGTCGATCAATGCCACGTGTCAATACAGTACCGTCGCTACCTTTCCTTTGCAACTCACGTAATTGCCAAAGACATCGACCATGAGTTGCTTCGCAGCCGGCTTGAGCTCCTCAAATACCTCGTCTTTCTGCTTTTGATCCGCCGAGTCCATTCTCTCCTGAACGAATCGACTTCCATGCTGATCGCTGCTGAACTCCACCAAGTGTCCTTTCAGATCTTCGAGCTCGAACCGTCTTGCACGTCCGCCCATCAGACCTCTGCTTCTAAATTCTTCCAACAGCGCCGATCGATTCGGCGAGGCCGCATTTTGACCTTCGTTCACCAGGTCCGAGCGTGTCGACATACCGCCGTTGAGGAAGGCCGATCCTGCTGCTAGACCCGCAGCGTTACGTCCGGCAAGGTGTGGCGGCGGCAAAGCAAAAGGCGCAAAGGAGATGGAAGAAGCGTTGGAGTGGTTTCTAGAGTGTCGGCCAGGCGGGGCAGCGTTGTGACTTGTTGAGCCAAACCGAGCAGTACTGTAGAAGCCGGGCTGGACAGCGCTGTTCTGAGAATGAGCAGCGAGTGGAGATGCTTGAAGAGCGCCCGCACGGAGTGGAATGGGCGCACCGGCAGAAACCGCTGCGTTTGGCGAGATGTGCATGGGTACCATGGAATGAGCAGTGGGCAGGCGTTGATGATTGCCCGTGCCCGTGGGCGACGAAGGAGAGTTGGGTATCATACTAAGGCCGTATTGCGAGCTTGTACCATTTGAAGCGCTGTTCGGTGCCAAAGAGGCATTGCTGAGAGGACCACCAGGAAAGCCGGAAAATCCCCCCACGCCTGCAGGATATGAAGCATCGCCAGCGAAGGAGGAAGCGTAGGAGTCCTGTCGTCGGTGCGCTTGACGCGAAGCGCCGCGCTGCAGCGGAACGAAAAGGCGAAAGGCTCAGTGAAAGCTCGAATGTCGACGCGTCAATCGAGAGAAGCTACACCTCACTCACGCGATGATGATTGTTCCTGCTCGCAGGTCGACTGCTGGGGCCCGAACCGAACATGTGGCTCTGAGTGCCGTACCAATCGTGTGAAGCGCTGGCCGGAGAAGGATGAGCGAGACTAGGAGAAGGTATGATAAAGGGGGTCATCGGTGGCGCATATCCATACGTCGTAGCAGCATTGGGGTCGTGAGAGAAATGGATCTGAGGTTGATGCATCTGTCCATATACCGATCCTCCGCCGGTCAGTTGTGGCACTAGACCAGCAGGATACGTCGCATTAGGATAGACGAGCAGCGGTCCGGTTCCAACGAAAGATTGATCGCCGGTCATCGCGCCCCCCTCCGAGGTGCCTGCAGAAGGCAACATGGGGGGACTTTGTTGAAAAGCGGCGCCAGCCTGCACATACGGCTGCACCATCATACTGCCCGACCCGTGCGCTAGACGGTGCATATGCTGCGGAGTGGGCGGCTGAGGAATGGGAGCATAAGGATCCGGTGTGGTCCTGTACGATTCGAAAGCGGCCATGTCCATCGCTTGATGCGGAAGCAGCATTGCTCCGTGTTGCGCACGACTCGGCTGACTCATGGCACTCGAATGGCCGTACGACTCGGGACTCGTAGGCTCTGGTCCAAGCTCAGGAGAAGCATAGTACTGTTCTTGTTGCTCGTCGTGGTGCTGCCCGCCATCTCGCGAAGCGACAGGGGCGTACATGGTGGCACTTCGATGAGGACCTGCTCCCCCCTGATCGGGAGGACGAGTGGCATGCGGCGAGGCAGGAGCCTGGACGGCAGCAGACGAGGAAGGAAAAGTCTCACCGGCTCCTTGCGCCTCTAGCTGGTGTACTTGGAGTGTTCCGGGATCCAGAGTCGCAGCTCTTACAGGCTGCTTAGCCACGCGGGGACGACCGGTCGAGGACGATGCCGCCTCGCGAGCAGGGACGGACTCGACAGAGGCGCCACCACTGATTTGGGCCTGTTCGACCAGCAAATCCTTTCGCTGTTGCTCAGGACTGAGAACCTGTGCAGCGCTGGTGGGAGACGCAGTCTGCATTGATTGTAGCGTGACGTTCGAGAGTCTAGAGGCTAGGGAAGCATCTATGGCGTGCGAGTGCGCAGGTTGCTGCTTGCCAGACAAAAGACCCCGAGCAGCAGCATGCGCCGCTCGTGCTCGTTCCTGAGCGAGAAGAATACAAGGCGGAGCTCAGTCGCAAAATCAAGGAGAGTCGGGCGACCTACGCAGCTTCGTGAGCCAAGCGTCATTCAACCACTCACCTCGTCCTCTTCGAGCGGATCTTCAGCAGCGACGCCCTGCCTTCTCGGAGGTGCGCTAGTGAAAGATCTGGTAGGCACGGGTTTGGCCCACGCATTAGGTCTCGGTGCGGCCGCGTCATCGGCAGCGACCACACCTGTAGGGTGCTGCATTTCGCTGCTCGTGGTCTGGACTGCTCCTTTCCAAGCGGGACTCGAGGTCGCAAGAATGGGTGGAGATTTTGTAGCTGCGGCCGCAGCAATGTTGGCGGCACTGCTGGACGATGCGACTGGATCAACGGTGGCTCGACGTTGGGGATGCACTGGCGATTGCGAAGCGTTGGCACGGGCGCGGAAGCTAGACGATGAGGTCTGAGCGGATGGATCGGTCATATTTGCGGCTGTTGCGTGAGCTTGAAATGCAGTGTACGATGATGATGATGATGGCCGCCAGGGAAGGAGGAGTACGAGTCGCTTTGAGTCAGATGAAAAATGCTGCGACTGCACCGCTTGATTTTGCGGGGGCTCCTAGCCAGCCAGCAAGGTCAAGGAAATGGACAGAAGGCGCAGCAATCTGTCTCGGCTCGTCTAGCCTGCCTGGCGCTCTCTGTGCTCCTTGTCCTCTTTACTCGGTCACGAACCGCCCGATACTCGCCGACCTAGCGTGCAAGGATTCCTGAACGCGCCGGCTCTTCTATGTGCCGCTCTCCTCCTTGCCGCTCCTGGCCACCGATGGCTACGGTGGAGGTAGCGATGAGCAGCCCCACCCGACTTGGCCGCTGATTGGTTGTCCAGGGTGCCCTAAGATCTTACGCAGGGATCAGGTGACCAGGTGTAGGTTTGGAGGGTGTGATGACGGAGCACTACACAGGCCAGATGAAGAGTTCTTCGTCGCTTTGTCCCTCACAATCGTTGGCCGATAGGCAGCCAAATTGGCTAAATCATGAGAGAGAGAGATATAGATGTGGTAAGCTATCGCGATTCGTCAAGCAAAAAGGTGGCTCGTGTTCAGCTGCACATCGCTTCTTCACCGCTTGCTTGTCTGTCCCACTTTGTGTCCGCATTCCGGCCACACACCCTGCCACACAGGCAAGACATGAGACACGAGCTACCCGCTACAACAACCGCGCTTTCAAGAGCTCGACTACGTCGACGTAGCGCCAAACGCCACGCATTACTCAACAACGCCCCGGCCCTCTGGTCTCAGCCCGCCCCAGGAAAGAGATGCTGATGACATCATGAATTGCGCTACGCCTTCTTGGTCCCGAAGCAACCATGCATTCCGCTATTGTGATTGCGGGCGCGCACCTCTTCCTATCTGTCCGCCCCTCGTCACATCCATTCACTCACTTTGTCGCACGTGCTGCAGATAGCCGAGACAGCAGCTTGTCCTTCGCCAATGGAGCTTGTGCGCTTGGCAAGTGGAAAGAAGCGAAAAGAAATACTGAAAAATGACGATCCTGTCGGAACTTGCGAACGTTGATTGACACGGGATCGAGTAGATGGCGGAATGGCGTGCGGCAAAGTGTTACTGCGCGGGTACCAGTACAGCCCACATCGATGCGTGTGAAGTGTTGAGAGAAGTCGGGCCGATGGAGGAAGCACTGCGAGTGACAAAGCTGGGCCGTGGAATGCTTTCGTGCGCGGCTCTACTCTACGCTCCTCTCGACTCTGACTGGGGCGGTGGCTGTCACGTTTGGAAAGGCGAGCGAGCTGAAGAGTACGCTTGCTTGGTGCGTCAGACGACGTCGCGATTCTCCTCACTCTGGTGTCTGGATTTGTGACTGCCTGATGACCATGCTTGGTGGTGTATGTGTTGCAAATAGCAATCACGAAGCGTGGATGAGCATCGTGAATGCACCGCAAGCCTTCGAGTCCAGCCACCTCAGGTGCTTCCTGGTTGGCATACCTGCTTAGACTACATCGTACTCACACTGTATTCGACCCTGACTCACACTGCTGCGCAGCTGAAATATGTGCGCACGAGGCGCATCCGTGCTCAATTGCATCTTGCGTCAGAGCGCGTCAAGGCGGGCGCTCCTCTATCCGCATCCCACGCCGCTGCCTATGCCTGCGCCCTTCCAGCAGTGAGTGATCTTCTCATTCACGCAAGTCTTGGACTACTACTACTACCATTACTACTGTGGTAAACCCACAACACTACCTGAACCCACAAAATAGACTGCTGTACTCATTATATAGATGTAGGGGTACTGACCGCGTCAAGCGTGCCTCAAGCAGTAACGCGAGCGGCTGTGGATGTTCCAAGTTGCGCTCAGACTCGAAACCTCAATCCGATTCAGTGCCCGTCCCACCATCATTCAATTCGCATTCACAATTGTCACCATCATCCAAATCTGCCTCATTCGCCTCATGCGTGATCCAGCTAGCTGATCAGTCAGATTCACAACGGCCACGCTAGGCTTGTCCAGCCGTGTGTGCTGATTGGCAACCATTCAATCCAAGTGGCCGCCCACATTTTGCTCTTCTCTTCACTCAAGCTGGCGCCGTTGCGGCCTGATGGATCGTGAACATCTTGAAATCCATTCACGATTGACGATTTAAGATTGACCATTCAGATTGACAATTGATGACTGTGAAGCGTGAAATTACGAGTCACGAAAGTGACTAACTCTAGCGTGCGTGCATGCATGCATGGACCTTCTGGATTTCTTGATTCCGAACGATCCGAGCGGGCCGAGCGTGCGCGTGAGTGCGCGTGAGTGCG